CTGCTGAAATCAAAAATAGATTGAATTAATTTTCTCGCCTTTATATGTATATTTATATATATATATAAGTTCTTTATTTTGACACAGTTGAACATAATCCACACAGGAAACAGTGAGTTAACATTGTGGATTTTATTTCGAGTCCTGTTTTTTCTTCGAGTTTTCCATTATAGATCTTTGTTTTTGATCAGTATTATCTGCAATTATTATTAGCAGTGAATCGATTATGTTGACTTTCCTGCTCCTTTCGTAATATTTAATTATTCGCATTTCTCAGGCAGGCTGACATACTCGTATTTGGTGGCTTTAAGGTTTGCAACCCAACTGCTGGCGTTATTTTTGTTGCCTACAATGTTGCCGTGCAGTTTTGGCAACATGTCCACCCGTATGCTTAGCAGCACGATGGTAGAGTCACTGCAAGCACGTTTTAGCTTCCGTTTGCGTGGTTTGCCTCTTTTCTTAGCACAGTTTTTGCCTGTATGTTGCTGTTGCTGTTGCTGTCTGCCGCCAAAATGTCGAGTTGCGTGGCGTCGTTTTCGTCAGGCGTCTGATCGGCGCCTTCAGCTCCTGCAAACCGAAAATGTATTTCTTTCGCTTCGTCTAACTCGTTATATGGTGTGCATTTGCCATGCACATAAAATTTCATTTAGAAGGACATGATTTACATATATGTAAATTGATTGTTTTTTCTTATTATAATTTCTTTTTTCTTTTCTTAACTTTAGGTTACTATACTTCTTTTGAGATTGTGCTATATTCAATAAAAAAAATAAATATACACATACAATGTGTGTATTTGTATATATTTCAATAATTAACATGAGTTTCAAACCACTGTAACAATTGCCAAACTTGTTGCTAAAAACGCGCCAAAATATGAGGCAACACACATACAGACACACCACGGAAAATAACACAGAAATGCCCACCGCAGCAGTCAACACTGCAGTCATCGCGATGAGTAATTTTCACCACCCGAATACGACGGCAACCTCAACCTCAACACCAACCCCCAACCCCAACACCCAACACCCGGACAGAGCCCAGCTGTCAGCAGTGGAAAAACTCACCTGTTAGGCGCAGGATGCCTGGCCAGATGCTTCGTCTTGTTCGTATTCACACCCCTCTCCTGTGGCCAGCCGAGCCAATGGTGAATTGAGCAAGTTTCTGGTCTCTCGCACTCTCGGCACCAAACAGTTGCGACGCGACTAAGGAACGTAACGGACGTGTTAACGCTTTCAAAAGCTCAACGAAAAGTTTCTCAAATAAAATACAAATTTTTCAAAAAATTGGAAAAAGTTTTAAAAAAAGAAGGAATTCAAGAATATAATTTTCAATGTTCTAAAAAAAAATGTAATTAAAATAAATTAATTTAAATAATAAATATAATATTTATGAAAAGTGCGAATCGCGTGTTGAATTTCTCCATTGCGAATTGTCAGTCAAAGTTCAGTTTGTCGTCATCTCTCGAACACATCGAACGTGTGCAAAGAACGTGAATCGAATCGTGTTTATAAATAATATAAATAAATAATAATAGAACTCATTGAATCGGTAAACAAATGTAGATTATGCTCAGATAAAAGCTGTATATAAATTAGCATACCCTTTTAACTTAACCCATAAATATATATATACATATATATATATATATATATACATATGCCATATATTAACTGTATATTATGCACGCACTAACCAGACTAAAGCTTATGAACCACCATATTAGCTATCATTTATATAGATAATCCCAATACGTAGAAGTATATTTAATAAATCCTCAAGTTCCTTAGACTGTAGTCATTAATGTTGGACGAGGTGTATTTCCATTTGATAAACGATTTAAGTTTGCGGCTTTATTGCTTTTCACTCCTGACTATCTTACTCACTGTATACTATATCCACCGGATCTGGCCAATGGGCAATCGGAAAGTAAACCGGATCGAGAATTTGCCACGTAAGTATTCTTAAGTTCTTGCAACCTTCTTAATCAATTGGATTCGATTCCCTGCCAGTTCAATTAGGCAGCAACTGTCTACACTTTTCCACTTCAAAGTTCAATTAAGGAAAGTTTTTTACTGCTGAAAAACTTGACGGGCTAAACATGAAGTGCAAGTTACATAAAACAGCTGTTGCCCTCACACTAATTGCATTTTGCACTGAAGCGAAAACTTTACCAACCAAATCCTTCAGCAACATGTCAGAAATTGCTGTAGTTTTCGTTGTCTGTTTCCGTTTCTCGATATCATATCAAACCGTGCACAGACCGCGGTCTGATAAGGCTCTTATCAAACTACACCCACGTAGCACCAGCACAGCTTGATGATAAGGTAATACGCTGCAATGCACACAGTCACCACAATAGCAAACAAGAACAATATATAAATATATATACATATATATATAGCTTTCATATATGAACACATCCGAACACAATTCGCAACTCGTCACTTGATATACTCAACGGAAATATAGAAATATAAGAAGTATAACTTTCAACAGCATACGCAGTGGAGCATAGAGCATTGTCGACAACGGAATGGGAAGTAAATTGGTGTAATCAATGTAGCACTTTTCATTATTTATTATAAAGTTTTAATATCAATTATCCCACTCACACATCCTGCTTATAGCCTTAAGCTTTTTGTTTTGTTTGGATTTGAGTTTGATTTCATTTGGAACTTGAATAAAAAAATAAGTGAGAATTTTGTAGTCAAGAAAATTTGACTACAAAATATCCTGAACCCAGCTATTCAAATTATTATTGCAGTTTTAGGAACAAACTTAATTTTAAAAGGGAATCAGAGCACTTACACAATTACTATATTTATTTCACACTCAAATTTAATCAGATGTGGAAGTGTTCTCATTTAATAAAAAAAAAATGGCAAGTTCCGAGATTTGCTTTCTTTCCTTATTTTTTCTATCTCACTTTTTATCGCTCTCTCGCCCTCCGTCCGTTTCCTTATGTCTGTTTTTTTGTGTGTCCTCAATTTTATCAATAAACCCCCGGGTTTAGTTATTTTATTTCATTTAAATTTTAATTTAAATATTCACTCGTTGTAATTATTATTTTTTTATTATTGATTTAATAAAACAAATTTTAGTTGAACTGTTTTCTTAGATTTGCGGACGGTTTTTAGTCAACTTTAAATAAATAAATAAATACAAACATATTTTTATATATTATATATAGTAAAGAATTCAATATGGGTTTGGGTGTTTCTTAGCCGATCTTAATGACATTTTTATAGTTGCTCAATATCATTTATTAGAAGTAAATTAATCTAAATTTGTGACTTGCATTGGTATCGGACCTCGATGTGCATCGACATAAGCAAAACGAGTTGGAAGTTATTGATAAAAAAATAAATTTGATATTCGCGTGGTATGCAAGAACTTATTTTCTAAATTTGAACTCCTTAGCTCGTATGGCCTCTGAGATTATTTTGTTCATACAGACAGACAGACAAACAGATATGGCTGTTGATGATGATCAAGAATATATTTACAAAATGCTTCTGCCTGTTACATATTTTTGCACAACTTTAATATACCCTCTCTATCCATTTTTATTCGGCTCAGGGTATAAAAATTACTAGAATAGAAGCGTGGTTTTGAGTGTTATTCAGATATTATGTTACACAATTATCTAGCTGGTGCTTGCAATGAGAATTAATTATGAAGCTTTCATGAAATGCTTGCAATGGGAATTTTTCAGACAGCATTAAGCATACGTAGAAAACAATGTCATATTGTACGTCAGCGCCTTTTTGTTAAAATAATTCTGTACATGTCTAGAAAATTGTGATAATATGCTCGCACACACACACACACACACAAGCACACACATATATATATATATATATATATATATATATATATATATATATATATATTGAGTGAGAGAGAGTGAAATCTCATGAGCAAAACTTGCTTTGTTTAGGGCCAACATGCATTAAGCCCTCTAGGCAGCTGTCAGCAGTGGGCAACAAGGCCCATTAGCACACACATTCACATACACATACACACACTCAAACACACTCACACACACTCACACATGCTCACTTACATACATAAAGGGAAGCAGAGAACCCTTTTGACTGCTTTCGAGAGTGAACAACAACAATAGCACTGTGCATTAGTTTGGTTTTCATTTGTAGCAAACTAAACATATATTGTAAAATACACAATTGTAGCTGGCTCGGATATTGTTAGCCATTGGCTTAAGCCCTTTAACTGTAATGCCTTTTGCTTAATGCAATGACCTCTAAAGCTTTCTATTAGCTTGATTTGTAATGTGTATAATTTAGCTATTTATTTTTGTGATTTTGTTACCACAGTCTTAACGCCTAACTGTATTTGTTAACGTCTTCATTTACAGCTTCAACGCGGCGAGCAGACAGCGATTGGGAGCCATGTTTATGCTGTGCTTTTGAGCCATGACATGAATAACGAAATTAATTCAAATCACGTTAAATGCAATTTGTTTACACTGTAAATTGCATCTATTTGTTTCAGTTTTCAACTTATTTGAAAAAAGTTTTCGTGACAAGTCGCGTACAATATTAAGTTATCAACAAGAATATTCCACTTGTTGTCAAGTTCAGTATTCAAGGGAATTATTAATTGAAAGCCACGCTGAGTACAAACTGTTTACAATCAGCTTCAAACAGGGCCACAACTTTTGCCATCGTTTTTATTTTTGCGTTCACAATTTAAGCGGGCATTGAAATGCAATATTTATTTAACAACAACAACAACAACAACAAAAACAGCAACAGCTTTTTGGCGAAGGACAAACATTTTGGGCTCCTTACATTTGTGTTAAGCTAAACAAAAAAGTTGTGGCGTGGTCTGGCATCAAATTTATTTCAAGTTTTCAACTCTTCGAAATTTCGCAAAACTAATGTGTTAATCAATATTTCACCAATATAAACCAAATATTCTTAAAATAATAAATCAAATAAAAGTAATATAATAAGAGAATCGCTAAATAAAGTTACTATAATTATAAATAACAAAACAAATATATCAAAATGGCGATGGAATGGATAACAGCTATGGACAAACGGTAAGTGAAAATAGAGATTTCAAACAATTTTTATTATTTAAATTTCAAAATAGCTGGTCTTACACTGGTATCAGGGTATTCCGCAGTTTGTTACGCCCAACTGCAACGTTTTTTATATTTTTTCAAACTTTTTTTATTTTAACATTATGTGCAGCATATCGTACAATCAATCAAAATGTAACCGGGTACTGTAAAAAAGTTTGTAAAAATACCGGAGTCTTTTTATACTTTTCGAAGCAGTATCAGAACTAGACCTAAATTTCGGTTTGCTAGCCAAAATATTAATAATTTAAGGAAGACTTTTTGTTCACTTTAATGCTTTCATTAACAGCAAAAAGAATTTAATTGCCCACAAAGTTTTTTTTTCATACTTTGTGAAGCATGAAAGCAATTTATCAAAAAGTTCGAAAAGTTTGTCTTAATGTTATAGCGAAGCGTTAAGTATTTCTGTAAAATAAATTACCATTTATTTGAAAGATAAAGAAACAAAGTAATAATTGAAGCTCGAGAGACATTCATTTGATTCAAATTTAAGGTACACATAAATTTTCAATTTTCCACAACATTTTCTTGCACAACAAAAGTTGTTTCTCTCTCTCTCTCTCTCTCTCAACTGTCTCTCGTTTTCTCTCCTATACACACAGACACACACACACACACAATATGTTGGGCGTATGAAATCCATATGTTACATATGAAATATTTATTTCATGCTCGACACTCATCTGTCAAAAGGCAACAGCTGTGTCATTCATTAATTCATTCGTTAACTCGGCAAACGGGAGGCAAATCCAAATTAAAATGTTGGACACGGCTAGCTAAGAATTAAACGCTTTATTAAAGTACTCACACAAATGGCACTTAAGGCCCGATTCATGCTCAAAATGCAATTAGTTTATAAGAGCTGCTGGTCACTTTTTGAAATCCCTCCAAACCCTGAGGCCAGGACCTGCTATGGTCCTTTCCAGTTGATTAGCGCACTGAAGCAGCGAAAATTGAGAGCTGGAGCATAACTTGAATTGAAATTGGAGGGATTCGATTTTCAAGGGCCGCACTCAAGCGAAAATTCTGCTCATTACGAGCTATTTGCAGTAGTCTAAAACTGCACACTGGGCCATTTTTTCTTGCATAAATTCTACACATTTTTTGAGTATAACTGAAAGTTTCAAATCCTTTAGCAAAATACATAAATCCAAGCTGTTTTTTCTAGCTTGCTTAAATATATACATTTGCATTAATAACTAAATGTTAATCATGGAAATTAATCACCTTTAGCATTAAATAGAATATAAATGCTTAAAAATAAATTATTTTGCAATTGTTAATTTTATTTCTGGAGGCATAATTGCATTTTATGTTTTGGTATTAATTGTTGCAACTTTTTCGTACAAATATGGGAATAATAGTAAAACTCCTAACTAAATATGAACCTATCTTTCGTCAGGTTGGGAATTATATAAAATAATGCACGTTGAGGATGGTTTTTGTCCAGATGAGATATTAATTTCTTCTTAGATGGGTGGTAAGTGGATTGGTTAAGGTTTGTCTAATTATTATATACTTGGCACCAATTACAATTATGTAACTATAATTATCGAGTTTACAAAAAAAAAGAAGCAATCTGGCCCAGTGTGCAAATAGATCCAATAGGCGGACACTAGATCAAAATAAAATAGCTCAGAATTTTATTTTCGCAGCAGTTTATGGAGTAGAAAGCATCATTAGTCCAAGTGGCAAAGCGTTTCGGGACTATTACTTTGGGGCAGATGCTACTTGAATTTCACTAAAAATCGCTTGCATGCAATCAAAGGCTGTCAGGGGCGTTGTTGCCACACACCCACGCAATCAATCCGAACTTGCCCGCTGGCGGCTTAAATGAACATCGCATCGTGCATAGCAACCTGCCAAAAATCCAGGATAAAATCCAGGGTCAGCTAGCAAAAAGGTCAAGAGCAGGGGGCTCTAATCACACACACACACATAAACCCAGACTAACATAGCAAACATACATACATACATATTCAACAGACTGTTTGCTTTGTGATTTTGCAACGGTTTCTGTATATCCAGCAAATATTTGTACTTTCCGCATTTGTTTGGCTCTTTTTATGTTACATTTTAATTCGAACACTGCCTGAAACAATAAGCACGTACAGTTCTCGCTTTCAGCAGTTGCTAGTGACAGCATCACGGATTTCTTGTAAACGTGTTTGACTTTGTGTAACAAGTCTAAGACTTCCAGTGCTAATATATGTTGGCACACACTCTCCTCGCCAGTGGACTATGACACCCCTTAAATCAGATTATTTAGATGCCAGACTCTTGATTTTGTTTTTAATCAAACTATATTTAATTGTTTTAAATTTACCGGAATTTAGTTATATTTATGGTTATATATTAAAAATAATATTATTACTTTAATTGCCCCTATAAATTCCTAATCAATCACCTCAATATATTTAAAAATTCAGCAAAAATGTATTTAGAAAATGCGTCGGCTTCAAAATTCATCATTCAAAAAAGCAAACTCTGTTTAAGAACATTCTGATTATTTTTAATTTAAAAATTACATAAATATAAGCTAATTGCAGTATTTTACATTTGCAAAAAGAATAAAGTTTTTCAATACATCAGTGGATATCAAAGTGTTTCCCAAATATTATTAATGCTGTTGTCTTTATTTAAATAAAACAATTTCTGGCAAAGCAAAAACTAATTGAAAGTAAAGCCTATATTTCTGCACCTTTTTTACTCATTTGAGGTGTCAATCTAAAATCGAAATCCAAATAGCCAAATAGCCTTGCAGATTGATAAGTTTATATGAAGACTAGATTGATTTGTCTGTTAATGCCGAGAGCATTATAATAAATCACTGATAACATTGTCTACTACATCTTCTGCCTATTAGACTCATTCGCACAGCATTCCAGTTTGGCCCATGATAAGAAAAGGAGGAACAGAAGGAATGTCGTATAATTCACGTATTTATATTGCAATTTCATGCGAAATTAAGTGCATTTTTTTTTCATGAGGCAACTTCATTTGCATTTTAGCCAAGAAACGACTGGCGATAAAGCAATGTCAGAGAATCGAAATTTTCGCACCACAATTGCCACAAAATAAATGAATTAATTTTCGGGCGAAATTAATGGTTGCTTCTGCAAAAGTCACGCAAGCAAATCTTTAGCTCGTAATGCGGTAATTCTGTTTATCAAGACCGATCTGAGGAGGTTAACAGCGCAGCTCGAGAGCAATCAGGACAAATAGGACAGACACACAGGAGCAGACACATAGGCCAACTACGGTGGCCAACAATTGATATTGATGTGCTTGAGTTTACAAGTAGCTCTAGTCTGGAGAAGAGTGTCCCTTAACCTGCTTTCAGCTAAACATGTGCGGCTTGGCGCATGTTTATCATACGCCACGTGTGCAGCTCAGCAAGAGCTTTATGCATTTTTCAATTTAAAGTTATTTTCGACTGTCTGGCAGTTTCTGTTCACCACAGGACAATTATAAAAAGGCAACTTTGCATTTGGCAGAACCACAAAATGCTATTATAATAAACAACAGGACGCCTGAGGCCGTGCCCCTCAACTCGCTTCCGGCATTTTCGCCGCAGCCCAAACACTCGTTTCACTATAAAGCATGCTACATTCTCTCCAAACTCACATAAACATACACTCGGAAAAAATGAAAAAACCGACATAAAATTAAAATATTTAAAAAATCAACTATGCTCTTTAGAAATAATATCTAAGCGATACAAATTTCTTAACATTGTAAAGGATTTTTTCTATTTTTCAGAAATATTTTCTATTATTGGGAAATATATTTCTAGAAAGGATACCCTTATTTTTAGAAAAAATTCCTTTCTTAAATTCAATATAGAAATCTTTTATCTAAATTTAAAAAAAGTCAACTAATGAATTACGAAATAAAAACACTTGAAATATAAATTCTCAATAATAAGGTGAGCTGCCCTTGGTGCCAATGTTTTCTCTATTTTCTAAATGTCAGGGAGACTTTTTTTCTAAGTGTACATACCATAGAACAGACATGGCACTTAGCCGTGCCGCTGTTTGGTTAACGACAGCAACAGCCAGCAACGCCCAGTCGCTGAGGGCCCTTACACAATAAGGCCTATAAATTATGTATGAGTGCGGCCAAAGACAACTCTCCCCCAACTCCGCATGCAGCTACTGCTGCTGCTCCTGTTGGAGCTGTTAAGCTTCCGCTCACCTTCAACTGTGCCAAAAAGTAGACACTACCATATTAAAGTGGCATCCTGTCACACAGACACACACACACACACACACACACACATACACGTTTAAACACACATAAAGACTAAGTGAGGCACACTCAGTGAAAACAGCTTTGTTGATTTTGATTTAGAGTAAAAGTTGCCTTGTTCGCATCTGCCCATTTTATGGCATTTTTAATTAACTTAAAAACACAAACATTTAAGCTAGAATAACTGTCTGTTTCATTTTTTACCATACCATTCAAAATAAATACAGCTGAGTATAAGCATGAATTGAGTTGCTTTGCTCTTAAGTGTATTTGGAATGAAAAACAAAATTTAGCTGACAAATATTGAGTCGTCCAGTTATTGACCTAAGTGTTTTTCATAGATTAAATATGTGCACTATGCTAAAAAGATAATGGAATATTTAATTGGTAAAATAAGGCGTTTGAAGTTGGGAGTTGAGAGTCAGCTTTCTGGATCGATATGTAGTTTTAATCTGTTTTCAAAGCAGATTTTCTCTTTTGTTGCTGATTTCGTATTCACAAATTTGTTAAGGTTATTTTATCCAATGTTAAAGTCACGGTTTCAGCACCTGAGCCTCCCACCTGGTCCGTATAATTTTAGCTCAGCCTTACTTTGAGGAAGCTGAATCCTTGACCTAGGCATGAATTGTGGCTGTGGCAGCGCCACTCTTGGAAAAAAAAACTGAGATATGGTAAAAGAAACAGGCTATTGCAAACACGTCTAAAGTTGTGCGCTTGGCAATTAGTTGCTGGCTATACTTGACTTAAACTTTTCTTCTGCTTTAGTTAGAGCTTCCGTTTCCGGCTACGTGGCTGCTCTTCCACAGACCAATTTTACAATATTTATTTTTACATTTTTATTTTAAAAATGTAAACATGGCGAAAAAGGAAGCGAACGTATTATTTGCATATTTATTTCGAGCCCCCTCCAATTCCAAATGGCATTAAGTTTTTATTTTTTAATATCCAGCATTGTTGTATTTTTATTTTGCTTTCTTCATTTGCATTTCTCTCAATGGCATTTTTCCCCGTGGCTTTGTCCACTGGCAGTCATAAAACCAATACAGCTGTAGCACTCTGAATGGCACTCACTTAAAAACTGCAAATACTCATATTCATTCACTAAGTCCATAAGGAATGAGTGCTTGCAGTTTTCAAATGAGTGCCATTGAAAGTGCTTTTGTTGATGTGTTTTATTTCTTCTCTGACACAGTTTATTGCGTTATATTGTCCGACCCGGCACACAGCAGGCGCCTTGAGTTATAAAGTCTCTCAGAGTTTAGCTTAAGCACTGGAATAGTCCATAAATATTTTAAAATTCTGTTCCTGAACTGGCTTTTTATTTGAGTCAACTAAATGCAATAATAATTAAAGAAAGTGTTTGCGCATTTTAATAGCTTTATTTGAATTAATAACACAATGATAATTCCGAAACGTTATAAAGTTTATTTCCAATATATATTGAGATTAGAAGCAAATGAAGGTTTGAAGCCAATTGCTAAAACAATCGATAAACTGGTGTTCACATATAATTAAGACTTACAATAAGCTATTTATATTAAGCCACACGGCGCGCCAAATTCAAGCAAGTTAACAATCAATAATCAATTAAAAGATTAAAGAGAGAAAGCATTGAATTTTGTATTTACCCAAAACTTTAATAAAATCTTAAAGAGCAGCAGTGAACAAATTGAAAGAAACTGAGATCTAGGTAAGAAAATTACATGAATTTTTGCTAGTGAAAAAATATTGATATATTTAAATATATACAACTTAGAAAGAGGAGCGTATTTGTATTTAAAACGTGTATTTATATCTGTATACGTATTAATTGTTTTGAAATTCATATTCAATATTCTTTCTTTTTCTGTACAAACATTTTGCCTTTTTAAGCAGCTACTAGTTAGAGAATAATCGATAATAATCGGCAATCTCGGATCGATATTCAACACAATAGTTGTGTTTCCACTTAAATATACCTCAAATTAACATTAATATGCGTCCACCTCTGATTACATTGTATTAGTCCCTATTATTACAGCAACCATTTAACAACAAGAAATTGCAATTATTTGTTTAGTAATTCATGTAAACGACACTTGGAAAGAAAGTTCTACTTAATGAAAATTCTTTAATAAAAAACGAAATTTGCTTGCTGTTGAAATTGCATGTTTTATTTATTAATATATTTTATTTCTTTGCTCATTTGCAGTCCTTGTGATCGTAACTTACGTGATGTGGAACTAATTTCCTGTCGCTTGCGTCGCGTGGAGCCGCTGTGTCGCCTGCCAGGGTCAGCCTTGCAGCAGTTGGCAATGTGTGGTTTCTACGAGGACTTGGAGAAGGGCGTCACACGTAAGTGTCATTATTAAATTAATTATGTAGGCGGCACAGAACACCGCTCGTCCCAGCAACAACTACAATACTCCATTATACATTTTTAAAGTGAATATTTTATTCCTTTAGAAAAAAATACATCAATTTTTTACCCACTATTTCTATAATCTGATACCGAAGATAAATGAGCATATTTTATGCGAGAAGAGAATATTTCATGCAATGTCCGTCATGCTGTCGGTCCGTCTGAATGAAGGATAGGGACTTGAAACTGGTCTGTGTTATGAAATTGATAAATTTGATAATCGCAAATCAATAAAACTATATATCACTGTACAATTTTAAAGCTAGACTAACCGAATTTGTAAAGTATCCTCGTTGGCCAGGATAAATATTGATGTATTAAAACAAAAGCGTACAACGTTCGTAATTTTAAAGCTATTAATATTATTGACTCGGCAAATTTAAACAGCACATTAATATTCATTAGTTGAGGTACACCCATTTGCCCATCGCAGATCCCACTCCGGAATCAGAGTATTCCGCAGTCGGTTCCATCCGACTGCAATGTTCTTACTTGTATTTTTTTTCTTATTTTCCTTTTTTTTATTGCGTGCAGTTTTTCGTGCTGGGGAGCAAGGACGATTCTGGTATGCGGTTCTCGGCGGTTCACTGGAGGTGCGTTACCATGCCCATGCCGATGCCGACGGAAAGGTGAGTGCACCCACATAAATGTGAAATATGTATGTGGCATGCATACAACACGTATAGAATACACAATACATATTATAGTATATGGGACATGAATGAAGCGCTTTACAGGCACAACGACTGTCATGCCATGTGAAAACAATGCACGGCTTGAACAATATAATTGACGGCGATTATATCGATAGGATGCGGGCACAAAAAATGGTTATGCATCGACGAACTGGCAGCGGGTACAGGGTACTGGGTATGAAGATGGAGAATGGGGCTGTTGCTCGGCATGTTCAATATGTCGATTCGATTGCCAAGTGGGTGCTGTGGTTGAGGGGCTCTGAGGGGCTTGTCAGAGCTGTGGCCTTTTATCTGTCGTAATGGGTTGCCCAAAACTGCTGACAGCGCTATTGTGCATCCAGGTCCTTGGCATGTGCCAGTGTCATAACATTTCTCTATTTTTGCCAGCAGTTTTTTTTTTATATTTTTTCATTTGCCAGCCTTTTGCAGTTTTTTCTTCTTTCTTTTTCACTATTGTGCTGGCCGCACACAGCCACAGCACATTAATTTCCGCTCGGATATTGACCAGTCTTCATTCAACGCTGTCGATGCCTTTTTGCTAACCTCTCTGCACACTCGGCCCATGGTCGAGTACACTTTTTGCACGGTCTCGAGCACGAGTACATTTCCCCCCAACCCTCCCTCCAAAAAGGTGTCGGCTAATTGAAATGGGCGCTTGGCCAAGCAAATTAACTGCTCGCAAGTGGGAGTGTGTGAGAGTTTAGGAGTGTGGGAGTGTTGGAGAGTGTGTGCTTGTGAAGTGTTTGTATACCATAGAAATTTGAGAAATATATGCAAGTGCACCACGGTAACACGAGCTCTAAGCTATTCAGCGCTGTGGTCGCCACCATTCCGAAAGTGAACTGAACTAATTTGGCCAAATTACATTTTTGGTTGCTGTGAATTTTAAAGAAATTTTAGATATGGCTTTCATAATAAGCGCAGATTTAATGTGGCTTCCTAAAACTATGAGTTTTTCAGTTGAATTGATTTTTCACGCCCTTTGAAAAATTAATTGTCCGAGTTTGAGTTTTATTTAAATGCCGAAAATAAAACGCATTTAAATTCAATTTTTTAGATATTTTTATTCAGAAAATATCAACTAGTTGAAATTTGTAATAAATAATTTAATTATATTATAATTTTATGATATACGTAAAAAATGCTATAATTAATCATTAAAATAACTAGGAGTATTAATAGGTGCTATGAATATCCGATTATTTACGAGATGTTTATTTTAAACTTATAACAAGTACTTAAAGCCTTCAATTTAACTATTCACTATTGCAGAAAATGTAATGGCTTTGTCTAGCAAGAATGTTGAAGAGATTAATTCGATGGATAAGTGTGTAGATATATCCATTTCCATCAGATCATTTGACTGTGTTACAGCAGCTTATTCAAATGGAAATGATAAATCGACTACTTTATGGATTTGATTATATTCTTAAATAAATAAATATATATGTGCTTAGTCATGTTGTTCACTGAATAAGTTTATTCGATTTTCGAAAGCTTTGCAATAAAAGCGGCTAAAATGAAGCTCAGCCTTCGGGGGGATTCCTTGGTTGGGATGCCTTCCAATCAGTGTCCACGTCAACATTTTCTGATCTAATTCTATGCACGTATTTGCATAATTTTTCACTTGATTTATTTAGGCAGAAACATTAGAAACATTTGCCAGTGGCGAGCGCTCGTAATTACAGGCCCATAAATTATGCATATTTGGTGAGCTCTAGGCCATATTCCGGGCACCCTGTGAAAGAGCCGAATGAAAGAAACTGTATTTGACACTTTATTAAAAAATAATACAAAAAAAAATGAAAACAAGAAGAAGACAAAGAAGGTAATTTTAATGAATGAACTGAGCGCGTTGAAGTTGATGCTGATGTTGATGTTGTTTCTAGCGTGTGACACGCAAAACCCAATTTCATTTCGGATTTCAGCTAAAAATATGTGCGAGGGAAAAGCCAAAAAATTAAAAACAGAAAATACAACGTTGAGCATACAACAAACAATCAAATGAAGTATTCCGAGAGCGTCAAGACCTATCAATAGCCGCACAATTAATTTCTAGTGTGATACTGAAAAGTAGAGAAGCATTCGAGTTGAAATTTGAAAATGGAAATGGAAATGGAAAAGAAAAAGAAACAGAAGCCAAAATGTATGTGCGACTTGCAGTCAGCGACCATTTGGTGTGAGTTCCGCTCAACCGGATTTCCAGACACCAGCAGCTTACGTGACACAGAGCAGGGTTAGTGAGGGGAGGTTGCTGCGGGGGGAGGTCAAATGTTGATGATTTCAGCTCACGGAATAGCAGCTAATTTTGATCTAATGGTATACGAAGAGCAGCTGGCAAAAGATACAAATTGCAGCTCATTTATAAACGTCTCACTTTGACTGGCCTCAAGTCAAGGGCGGCCATGTGGGAGTGGGCGTGGCCAGGCACACCCACACCGCACCACACACACAGACACACATTAAGTGAGTGCACCTGTTAACCGTTATAATTAAATAATATGACAGTGCAATGGCCAAGAGCAATATTTTTGCACCCTTCAACTTCGTTGCACAGTTGCTTGTCTGTCGTAACTTGTAGCTTGTAATTCGTGTATCTTGTATCTGAAAACTGTAGCTGGCATGTAAGCCCGTTTTCCGAAGTTCGTTTGGAATTACACGATTAATCTTTGTAGAGTGTTGACGCCGACAACATGACTCCAATTAAAATGATTTTATAATTATAGTCGGCGTGCCTGGCCATCAAATTAGCTGCGCTATCCTTCAGCCCAAACTCATCAAAACTAATGAAAATATAGAAATATGTTAACCCACATATAATTGGACGGTCATTAGCTTGCTGGCAGGCAACACAGTTACTTCCTCTCAAATATATAAAACATTGATGACCACCCAGCACGAACCGCATATCAATATCCCAAGTTCAAATTCTTTGACAGTCAAACTTTTTTTTTACGGTGAAAGCATAAAATGTCAACGACGGTATTTTGTGGGCGATTCAGATCAATAACTTCAGAAATGCTGCCTGTCTCATAACTCATATGCATGCAGTGAAATTTTAAGAGAAAAAAAAAGAAAACTTATTTAAATATTACAGCTTTAAGCAGCAGTAGCAGCATCAACAGAGGCAGCAGCTGCGGCAGTCCGCAATTTCCGTCTCTATCAAAAGCCGGAAGCATTCCAATTTTGGCCAAAAAAGAACCGCATACCACAATGGACAGGCAGACTACACAACATATACACGAATCGAGCACACAAATTCAAACATAAAACACACACACACAAACATACTTTGGCCTCTTTAGTGGCAGAAATAACAACAGCATTTAGTCTGGCCCCATTTGGAAATCTTTAATTAGTTATTAAGTATAGAGCTGTGCCAACTGACTGCTTGGCAAACGTGGTCAGTTTTATTGGCATCATTTGCATATGCCGCTACCAAATTGAGAAAGACCAGTAACTTGGCATTTGCCTTGTAATCAGAATTAGAATCAGAATCACAACAAAAACAACACTTGCGAATAATCAAAATCGAATTACAACTAGGAGAATTTCAAATATCAATCGTCAATCAGTTCGTTAGTGGTTAACAGTGAGAAGTAGGTGGCAATTTCCTCTTTTCTATCTAATCAATGCATTAATTAAACACTTGCAATACCACTAACTGGCATTTAATAGCTGCGAAAACACTCCAAGTCTCTCAGCCAAAGCGCCAACTGATGAACTTTTTCAGTCAATTGACGATGAACTTGATGGACGCTGATTGCAAAGATTATGCACATCACTTTGGGGTTGACAAGCGAACGCAGCCAGAGAAATGCCACTTGAGACAGCAATAACAACGATTTGTCGCTTTTCATTAAAACAGATTATTTATATACATAGCAGCATGCATGCTGTAAGTATGGGTGTGTATCTGTGTTTGTATTTGTTTTGGGCAATGGAAATGCAAACAATCAGAGCAATATGTTTGAGTTGCTGTCAAACAAGTTGGGCCCCGGCTAATCTTGTCATAGCGATCGTAGACGAAGTATGTAAGTAGCCCACATACAAATATCCAATATATTGCTGCTCGGCAGACGTGTATGAGCTTGTGCGCGACCGAATGTATCTTTTGGATAGTCTTGCTGCCGCCACAGAAATTAATACGTGCTCAACACTCCAGCAGCGCACACACAACTCGCTCGACGAGTCTCTCGAGTCTGCGTCTAAATTCGAGTCTGCGGTTTCTGTTCGAGGCGCCGGCGAACTCTACTTTTTGCACGTAGTGCATTAAAAAAAAAGAAAAGAAGAAGAAAACGTTGGCTTCAGCCCAATCAATATTGGTATCGGTATCGGTTTCGTTATAGGCTAAGCCTTATCTTGTTTTAGTTTACGAGTCAAGCGTGGTCTTCATAACCATCCTCAACGAGGTAGTCGTCGTCGTCGAGTGGGTGTCTTCAAATCGCGGGCGTGTGTAAATATTTATTTTGCAAAAGCAAAAGCAAAAAAAAAAATGGAAAAATAATAAGAATTGCAAGAAATTGCAGAAAATACGAAAAATAAAGTCGTTAAATTATTGTGGCTATAAAAGCAACCTGAAAACCTATACGAGTTGCATTGCCTGCAATGAAATAAATGTAAACACAACGCGATGCATGTTTTATAATTGTTTATGCAACAAGAAATTAATAACAACAACAAAGTGCAATTGTTATAAACAATTTATGGCTCGAATGAATTATACACACACACACACGCATACCCCGAATACGCAATGATTTCTCATTTCATGTTAAGTCAACGCCAAAAGCGAAACGAAAAGCGAAATGCAAGTGAATTATTTATGAGTGCAGCTCGCCATTCATTCATTGATACGAAGGCTAACTAAATATTGTAAGCAAAACAACAACAACAAAAAAAAACAACAATTTAAATAACAGCTGAATAAACTT